CAAAACAAAAAAAGCAACCAAGACGGTTGTTTTCTTTGCTCTCACTCCCACCTTGCTCTTAATGGTCTTTCAGTTTCTTGGGGGAATCAGAGCTACGTAAATAACCTTATCCAACAAAGTCACAGAGTTTTTTGGCAGTAAACTTTGTTAATTATATCAGCTTCTGTCAAGTGTACAGGGTATCTTATGGAGTTTTAGAAGACTGATCTCTGGATTCTCAAATGCCCTGCCCGCAGGATTCCATTAGAAAATTAAGAACAAAATGGAAAGGGAGCTCTACAGAAATGCCATGGGCTGTAACAGGAAGAGAGAACCCTTTAGAAACTGGCTAAGATTAGAAAGAAGAGGTGTATTTCTTGCTTTCCCTCTAACCTCCATATCATAAGATGGGCAGGTAGAAGGAATAAATACAATAAAATTAGGGCAACTAACTAGCTGTTAGGTTATCCTGGAGATCCAGAGTACTGGCTCTGTTTCTCTCTTTCTTTCTTTCTGGGTTGGGGATTACTCTTGTTTACAAAGCACGTTTTTGGTTTGGGACAATAGAGGGGGCCAAGGTAACATCCAGGAGAGAAAACAACTCTAGGATTTAGAGCTGTCTTTAGGCTTAAGAACAGAAGATGACAGGATCGTTGAGATTTCTTATTAGGCTGTCCCATCTAGTTCGACAGGATAGAAAGTGAGGAAAGGATTCAAAGTAGATGCCCTTTCTAGAAATGAAGCTCAAGATATTTTTTCTTGGGTCCCCAGCGAATTCCCTTAGGAAGGTAGGTCTGAGCTTTGCATAGGCAGGAAGGGAGGTCACGGACGTCCTGACTGCAATGCCTCCGCCCCACATCCCCACGTTTATTCCAATACTTGAGACTTGTTAGGCTTTAAGATGAACTTGAAGGCAACAGCCACTTTTACTCACTACTGGTGAAGGTGACATTGACACTGTAAGACTGGCCTTTGTGCAGTTTGCAGGGCTGGGTGGGGCATGGGTTCACATTCAGTTCCTTTATAACGCCAACCCCAGAACCTGTTAAACAAAAAGAAAAAATGAATTGGAATAGGAGGGAAAATAAACCACCTATGCTGTCCCCTACTTAATGGGAATGTGCCCTGCTCTCCAGGAAACTCTTCATATTTGATGGCTGAAGGGGAATGAAGAAAATCGGGTAAGTATAAAAAGGCAGCCGCCCTGCTCTGTATCTTCTTGGGAGGGCTACACCAGGGAAAGTCATCCCCACCCCTCCTTCCATTCCCATTCAGGATTTATTTTTTAAATTTTTTTAGAAAAGATTTTATTTATTTATTTGACACAGAGAGAGAGAGAGAGAGACAGCGAGAAAGGGAACACAAGCAGGGGGAGGGAGAGAGGGAGGAGCAGGATTCCCACTGAGCAGGGCTATGCGGGGCTCTATAGGGGCTCCATCGCAGGAACCCGAGCCCAAGGCAGATGCTTAACGACTGAACCACCCAGAATTTAAAGCAGCATACTTATGGCACAAGTGATGGCTCAGGGCTCAGGGCTGCCATAGAGACTGGCTGCTCCTGAACTAGCCCCCCACCCATGTTCTTCCGATCCTGTCCTGGTTTCGCTCCAAACTGGTGGTCACCGAGCTTTGTATACCCCTACCAGTAAAAGCAATCTTAAGAACGCATATGCAGTATACAAGCGTATACTCCACTTCGGAAACACGCGTTCTTCAAAATTAAGTGTTTCTGGGACACACTGTGTGTCTCTGCAGTCTAAACAAAGGCAAAAGTGCTATTTGTTCCCAATAAATCCTTGCCCTAAACAGGTTCAGTAAAATCTTTCAAAATCCCACTGTCTGATCCAGGCCCCTGAAACTGGACAGCTGAATGGAGAGAAAGCAAGCAAACTGCCTGTTAACACCATCTACACCAAGGAAAGCTTTTTTGTTTTTTTTTTAAAGAGATTTTGTTTGCCAGAGAGAGAGAGAGAGAGAGAGAGAGCACATACAACCACGGGGAAAGGCAGGCAGGCAGAGGAAGAGGGAGAAACAGGCTCCCTGCTGAGGCTCCATTCCCAGGACCCTGGGATCAAGACCCAAGCTGAAGGCAGATGCCCAACCAACCGTGCCAGCCAGGCGCCACCGAAACACCCTCCCCCTCCCACCCCTGCCAGGAAAGCTTAAGCTCTGCCATTCAGCCATCAATGCTGAGAGATAGGCTCTGGGACTGACACCTGGGTTTGCAATCTCACAGGCTCCAGGACTTACTGCAAAACTTCAAAACAAGATACTTCACCCCTCTGGGGGAAAGTTAACAGTGACTGCCTCATAGGGTAAGTGAGCTAACACACTTAGAGCTCTTAGGTAAGTGTTTGCAACATAGGAGCGCTATGTAGGTGTTCATTTTATTACCATCTCATTGGGATTTGGTCCTCGAATTTAATCTAGAATAGCTGCTCCTGGGTGGGTTAGCAAGTTCCTTTTTGACACAAAAGGTGGGCCTCTCCTTTGCAGTCACCAGGTTTGCTCAGCCCATCGGATATGAAAAGAGAAGCTCATGTTGAAAGTCTTGGCCTTCTCAGCCTGTGCCTGCTCTTGGCTGGGACAGTTTCATCGAACTGACCAACACTGTTCCAGGGAGGTCTGTAAATAATAACCTGCCGTCCCTCATCCCCAGCTTGCTTCTCCATCATGAGCAAAGTTCTCAAAATACACCTGCAAGAACTCTCTTCTGCAAGCACTATCTTCCGCTCACTGTGTCCTCCTATCTTCTACAGACAGGAAAACAGATATCCGGAACTTGAATCAACAACCTATTGAAGATCAGTGCTTATGCTAGAGCTTTCAACGTCCACTTCTATCTGCTTCTTTCCAGACTGGGTCACGTGTTCTAGGAGGACCCGAGGAAAGGGCCTTACTTGGAGCTCCTTCATCCACTTTTACTGACAAGAGGTGCTTGGACTTGCAATGTCCACAGAACAAACTCCTCAGTCCTAATTGGCAAAAATAGCAAAGCCAGTTTGCTTGGCCGCATTGCTTACTTGAGGAAATACCACTCCAGGGGGAAGGGTCAGTGGTAAAGCAGCACTTGAAAACGCTTTGATGTGGGCACTGACGTTTTTACACTGTTATTTCCCAATTCAGAAGTCAATTGAAAATCTGTAACTGAAACCATCCTTTCCTTTAGAAGTTCTTGCCATAGGTGTACAGCTGCTTTTTTCAAATGAGAACAGTATCTGGATTTGGTTCCCGTAGATGTTGTTCTTAATGTTAATTTAATGTTACCACTGAAACCCAAAGTGGTTCACAAACACCCACTAATTTCCTATAGCTTACTAGCTGTAAGAACTTGGTAAGTTACTCCATGTGCCTGATTCCTCATCTGTAAAACAGATCCTGAGGGCGGAATGAGTTAATAAAGTTAATATAACATCTTCATCCAAATTTGGCCACTAAGTTTAATGGAGGGAAAGGCAGTAATTTGAGGCGATAACAGCATCTTTCAAGTGCCAGTAGTTCCGTGGAACAGCATTTGTTAAGTATTAAGAGGTCTGCAGTCTTTACTCTTTAATCAATCCTGTCCCCTAGCCCAACTTTGTTTTTGTTTCAACATAAATTTTGATGATATAGTGGAGATTATCTATTCCCTCATTTACTTTTTCAACACATATTTACTGAGCAGTTTCTATTACCTGGGCACTGGATATAAAGGATCAAACTTATTCTCGTTCCCACTCTGCTGGGTGACTTTGGGTAAGTTACCCAACATCTCTGGAGTTCAAGAATTGACTCCAGGATCTCCAAGCTTCCTTCCAGCTCACAGAGTCTATAAAATGTCTTCTTTCACTTATCATCCCACCTTTTCACTTCTGGAAAGTTCTGCTCGAACAAATAATTCCATAGACTTGACTCACTATTTAGTACCCGCCCCTCCCCCCTTGTATTTCCCCAAAAAGATCCCTACCACAGAGACAAGAGTGGGTTATGTGTCACAAGCTGTGACCAGCAACACGAGTTTTACGTACAGGAGGAAACAGTGATTAAGAACCACAAAATTATATAGCCCAAGGGAAGCGGCAATGGAGTAAATCATGAAAAGGAGAATTGGCTTTTGACTTGTCAGCAAAAGGGAAATTAAAAATAAAAGCAAGCGGCGTGGGGAGGGAGAGGTCATCCAAGATACGAGGCGGACAAAAAGTTCTGCGCCCCACCGCTCACGCCCCGCGTAGCACTGGGATCTCTTGTGGTTTGCCCTACAAACTTTAGGAAACTTCAGCAAAAGGCCCAGCTCCAGGTAATGTTCAGGGACCCCAACCACGCGTCTCAGGAAAGAGACAAAGTTGTCTGCCGTTGGGTTTCGCCACCCGCAGCTTCTCCCAGACCCCGGCCCACTCCAGCGGCTGAGCCTGACCGCCCACGGGACCCGCCCAACCTAGCCGGGGGGTCTCGGCGCGGGGTTCCCGAGGGGGCTGCTGCAGAGGGCGCGGGAATCTCGGGCAGGTTGGGGCTCACCGCAGTCCTTGAAATGCACCGGCTCCGCCAGGGCGGAGGCACCGAGCGCCAGGAACAGGAACGCGGCGACCAAGAAACGCATCGCAGCTAAACAGGTTCCAAGCGCGAGGAAGGAAGAGGGGATCGTTCCAGTCACAAGATAAACCTGCCGGGGCGGGCCGGGGGAGGAGCCTGGTCAGGCCACTCATCACCAGCATCTACGGCGGGCCCTGCCCGCGCCCCGCCTCCCCGCCCGGAGAGCCAAGCTTGCCTCGGTCCCGCCCAGACGCCAGCTATCTCCGCCCATCTGGTCCCTCGGCGGCTCCGCAGGCTTGGATCCGCCTCCGCCCCGCCGCCTCCTCGCACAGAAGCGCCTCTGGATTTTGTTGGTGAGCCTTCGCTTCCGTAAGTGGAAGCATTTCTAGCCAATCAAATCTCTTCTCCCCCAGCACTACCCAACAGGGGCGCTCGGGGGCGGGGTCTCTCTGGGTCCCGCCTCCGAAAGCCCAGGTGGAGAAAAGGATTGGGGCGACGCGGGGGGGCGGGGTTTGTGGAGGAAGATGGCTGCGGTCCTCGGGCTGTCTCTAACGGCCGCGGCGCTGAGAGCGGTCACTCCCTGGGCAAGGGGCAGGTACCAAGCCTACAAAGGCACCTGGGAAGGGTGTTAGGTTCTGCGCCTCCAGAACTAAGGGGGGAACGAAGGCCTGCGGGGGAGGCGAGGGCTTGATGTGAGCCTGTCCAGGTGGAGGTCGTCAGGGTTGCCGGGAGGCTGTCCAGGTAGAAGTGACCAGGTGCCCCTCTGCTCCCGGGCTCATCCTCCTCCCATGTGCAGCAGGCTCCTTGCGGCCTCTCGAGGACCTCAGGCTCGTCGGGAAGCGTCGTCCTCCAGCCCCGAGGCCGGCGAAGGGCAGATCCACCTCACCGCCAGCTGCGTCCAGGTAGGAGGTCGGACGCGGGGCGGCGGTTCCCCAGCGAGGGCCAGGAGTGCGGGGACTTCCCCTTGGCCCCCCCTTCTGCCACCTCTTGCCGGGCATTCTTGATCCCCGTTTTTGCATTTCAGAGACTTCTGGAAATCACCGAAGGGTCGGAATTCCTAAGGCTGGAGGTGGAGGGAGGTGGATGCTCTGGATTCCAATACAAATTTTCCCTGGATACAATTATCAACCCCGACGACAGGCAAGAAGGAAGGGGTGGGTCCTCAGAGAATGTGTGGGAGGGATAAAAGTGCACGTTTGTTTCGAATTTAAAAGGTTTGCTAAGAACGCCCAACACCATCCTTCTCACACAGCGGGAATACAATGAGGATTTGTTGTCATGATTCAGAATAACTATATTACAGGAGGGAAGTTGGCCTGCCTAGGTCCTTAGCATAGTCCGGCTGGACTGGATTCCAGGCCTAAATCCCTAAACCATTACCAGTATTCATTCCATTGACCCTTTTTGCCTCAGAGAAAAGCAGCACTTGTTAGAGGTAATAAGGAATGCTTCTCCTGTATTTGGAAAAACAGGATATGCACCCCAGGGCTCAGAGGGTGTTATGGTTTTGGTGTTTATGATAGTCCTTAATGTCTTCCTCCTGTCTTTTTCAGGGTGTTTGAACAGGGCGGGGCGAGAGTGGTGGTTGACTCTGATAGCTTGGCCTTCGTGAAAGGGGCCCAGGTGGACTTCAGCCAAGAACTGATCCGAAGCTCATTTCAAGTGTTGAACAACCCTCAAGCTCAGCAAGGCTGCTCCTGCGGCTCATCCTTCTCTGTCAAACTTTGATGTGATGACAGGTGACCCAGAGATTGCTGCCACTTGTACCAATTTGAGGAACCTAGGATTAGTAGAATTCTAGAGGTTTCCTTCCAATCATGTCCTCCTCTCAGTTTTATTTCCCTCAGTCCAGGAGTGTTGTGTTTTGCCACTGTTATTTTCAGAATATGAAGCTTTTACTCTTGATCTGTTTTTCACTCACACATTTCTAAGGCCAAGCCTCTAGGTGCTGTGATCTAAGATACACTAACTGGTTGAAATCTGCCCGCTATAATCTGTAGAGCCTCCAACGTTCCAAAATTTGGAGTCACTTCTCAGGTGCTTGTACATAGGTGTGTAGCTATGTATAAAAGCTCCATTCTGAAGAAAGTCCTTAGTTACTTGTGTTCTGGATCAGGGTCACAGATTGGGTAGCTTGAACACTGGTTACTAGGCTAGAAAGGATGAGAAAGGCAAATGGAAGTTTCTCTTTTTCATCTCACTCTTCCTGAATGTGCTAGTGACACCCTTCTTTTTCTTTTTCTTTCTTTTTTTTTTTTCCTTTTCCTCCTACATCCTTATTTTCTGTGCTGCCCATTCCCCGCTTCCCATTTGTTAGGGTAGATACATTTTCCTCTCTTACTCGCAGGTCTGCTAGATTCACAAAAAAACCAGTAGTCCATCACCCAGGAAACTTGGATCTAAGCCCCACTGATAACCTGAATCATTTAAAAAATAGGCCTCATACTCTGTACTCACACAGACATTTCAAGATTCTGTGATTATTCAATGACTGAGTCTTTTTAGGACATGTTGCTTTACCTAAAATGTCTTTGGTCTCATGCATAGCAGGAAGGGGTCCCCTTGTTGATAAAGATAATGGATGGTGGTTAGGGATTTTCTTTCAGGTTGGATTACCAGATAAAATGCAGGATGACCAGTTAAATTTGAATTTCAAATAAATAATTTTTAGTGTCAGCGTGTCCCAAATATTTTATGAGACATATACTAAAAATTACTTGTTGTTTATCTGAAATTCAAATTTAACTGGGCATTGTGCATTTTTTTTTTGTTAAACCTGGCAACTTTATGATAGGGTTGCTGAAAGAAAAGCTCTTGAAGCCACAAATTCCAATGAATTTTAAAGTACTTGTTTGGGTATGGCACTTAATTAGGCTACAGAGCTAGCAATAGTTGTTGTAAGTATGTGACAGTGCTGGGGGACCCAGAACTTCATGGACAGACAACTAAAAAAAAGACAGAAATACCACCACCATGACAAATGATTTATTAATGCTCATGTGGGAAAACCACAACCAAATAGTTTCTGGAAAAATTATTGGTTAAACTCTTATTTTCCTCAATAGCCTAAAAGTTCATTACAGCAAAAACTTGCATTTCTGGACTGGATTGGAATTAAGGTCATTCAGCAAAAGAATTTACCATTAAAAAGGGAAATGTAGATTTTAGAGACAAGATGAAGCTTGGGTACTTATATTTTCAATATGGGAAAACCTAGGATTTAGAGAAAGCAAGCTGTTGTGTGTACAGTGTGTACAAAGAGAAGGAAGGGACACTCAGAAACCTGACCTTTGCAGATTTCCATGGGAGGAGGTAGAAAACAGCATATCATGGGAGCGTCTGTTTAAGTTTACTAAGACATTTAAAGTTGCTGCCCATACCTGGGCCTAATTAGATTTTCAGCGCAGACTAAGTCTTTTCATCCTCTTTAAAAAGAGATTTTGCTACCTTTTAAATGTTGGAACATATTGTTTTAGAGAGTGCACTTTATTTTTATTTATTTTTTTTAAATAAGCTCAATGCCCAGCATGGGGCTTGAACTCATGACCCTGAGATCAAGAGTTACATGCTTTACTGACTGAGCCAGCCAGGTGCCCCATGATTTTGTGATTTTAAAACTCATGCAGAGCAGGAGCTTAAATGCTTTAGTTGCTAAATAAACCATTAAATTGCAATGGTCACTTAGATAGGAACAGAGTCCCTTTGAATGCCTATATCTAAGTACCTCCTGTTAATGGGGAGAATTGGGATTCTGTGTTTTAGAAAGGGTGGGTTTGGGAGAAATCACCTTACTTTATCACACTAGAAAGCCTCATGAGAAAATCCGAAGTAGTAATAAGAAGCTTCCATTGGAGTAGGATGATGTAGAAATTTTAACAGCAGAGAGCATAGAGAAATAATAGCATCAAGGGGATAGTGGGCAATTTGCTTGGAATAAATAGTAAGCTTAGTAGAATAGGTTTAGGGTCTTTTGCAGGCCCTTTATGATCAGGTGCCCTCTTTCTGGTAAAGACCAGCAGATGTTTTCACAAATTTTGCTTACTGTGCAAATTCATTTAGGAAAACTTGATACTCTTCTGGTATCCATTGGAAGATTTTTTTGCTTCCCCATTACTTTCAAGGAGAAAGGCCTTGTTGTTGCAGAATTGGTTTTATTTATGCAAGTTAGAGAGTGTTTGGGGGTAGCATGCCCTGCCTTTGCCCTAGTAAGATATGCAAGAAGCAGAAGTAAGGGAGCCCTGCATCTGCTTTATGTTGTGAAGATGCCTTTTTTTTTTAAATTTTTTTTTTTATTTGAGAGAGAGAGAAGGAGCAAGGGAAGGGGCAGAAGCAGACACCCCCCCCCCCTCCGAGCATGGAGCCCAGTGTTGGGCTGAGCTGGATCCTGGGACTCCAGGGTCACGACCTGAGCTGAAGGCAGATACTTGACCGATTGAGCCACCCAGGTGCTCCAGCGTATTTTTTTTTTTTTTTAAGATATTATTTATCCATTTGACAGAGATCACAAGTTGGCAGAGAGGCAGGCAGAGAGAGAGAGAGAGGAGGGAAGCAGGGTCCCTGCTGAGTAGGGAGCCCGATGTGGGGCAATCCCAGGACCCTGGGATCATGACCTGAGCCCAAGGCAGAGGCTTTAACCCACTGAGCCACCTAGGCGTGACCCCTTCCTTTTTTTTTTAGGGTTTTATTTATTTATTTGAGAGAGAGGGAGAGCACTAGTAGGGGGCAGGGCAGAAGGAAAGGGAGAAGCAGACTCCCCACTGAGTAGAGAGCCTGAGGCAGGGCTCCATTCCAGGACCTGGAGATCATGACCCAAGGGGAGGGCAGATGCTTAACCGATTGAGCCACCCAGGTGCCCCTATTGTCTATCTGCTTTATGTTGGTGGCTCAAAAGGCGGGGGTCTCTTAGTCAACATCTAGATCTTAACCTTGTGGTGGAATCATACTCTTCAGTTATGTGATTGCTAGTGACTAGCGGTCTGTGAGTTGTAGGTGTCCCACCCAACCTTAGTTTCTTTGTGTGGGAATGTCCACAGATTACAAGGGATTAGGACAAAACAGGCTTAGAAGAGATTAGGAAGGGCTACTAAAGTAGGTGTCCAAGAACTTTCTAACTTTTCTAACTTCTAAGAGTTGAAACCTGTTAATTCAGTCTCCTTTTATACAGCAGTGAGTGTACATAGAGAAGCGGCAGCACTGACTGTGTGGCGTAGCCCGCCTTCAGTGCTGGCTGAGAGCCGATAGGTGCTGCTGGTAGTGCCTGGGACCCAACATTGTCCCCTGCAACATAGTTACGGTTTTGCATGTTTGTCTCAAAGGCGGGAAACTCCTCAACTGTTCTAGGTATCTAGCAGTGGTGTTTCTGATTGCTCTTTTAAAAAAATCCATTTGCCCTTTTTCCACAGAAATGCTACAGGGCTATTTAAAGAAAGTTTGCTTTAAGAAGTTCGGAAATAATTATGTGGCTTTAATTGTCAGATAAATACATGAAGAACGGAACATTTAAGCAGTCTATGGCCAAAGCTGTATTTAAAAATATTTTATTTTTTTGGAAAGGTAATACACATGGTACAAAATTCAAAAAGACACAAAAGGGGATACAGTGAAAAGTCTCCCAATCCTGTACCCATCCACCCTGTCACCCTCCCCACAAACCACTGTTGTTTCTAAGAATTTACCCTATAGGTATAATCCCATAGATATGTGAAATAACATATACACAAGAATATTCATTATGGCATTACTTATAATAGCAAGAGAGGGGAAACAATGGAAATGTCCATCAGTAGGGGATTGATTAAATAAATTATGATTTATCTGTTCAATGGAATAATATACAATTATAATATAGAATGAGACAGTTCTTTATGTGCAAGTCTGGATTAAGTGAAAACAAAGTGCAGAACAGCATGCATAGGATGCTACTTGTGTTTTTGATACAAAGAAATACGTGTATGTGCATGAAGTTTTTCCAGAAGGGTGAGCAGGAAGGCGAGGGCTGGGAGGCGGCGCCGCGCCAGCGCATATATGGAAGGGTGGTAAGAAGTTCTCTGAACCGTGGGGTGTGAGGCGGAGTGGCGAGGAGGAGGTCAGCAGATACCCAGGTGTCTTTCCCCTCTCTTTAGACAAATAGCAGCACACAGTCTACTCTGCTCTACAGCCTTTCCCCGCTTAGTCTGTTTGGATTTCTTATCAGGACATTTAGAGCCATTTTTTTTTCTTTCATTTTTAGGCCCCTGTGGCAACTGATTGTTTCTGATCTTTTGCTGTTACAAGTAATGCTATAATAAATAACCTCTTACATGTGTCATTTCACATTTGGTGAGACTATATCTGAAGGTTAAATTCCTAGAAGGGTCAGAGTAAGTGCTTTATAATTTTGAAAGACATTGCCATATTACCTTCTTCAGAAGTTGCATCCTTTTAAGGCCCTGTCAGCTGCGTATGTGAGTCCCTCTTTCACCAGAAGCTTGCCAACTAGGAGTCTTAGCAAACTTCTGATGCTGGCCAATCTGACAGCCTTAAAAAAGTGTCTCAAGTGTGGTTTTAACTCACATTTCTTTTGTTAGGAATGTGTAACGATGTATTTTTGTCTGCTGAAAACATCTCAACTAGTACAGCGACATAGAGCAAATTGTTTAAACCCTGTGTGTCTCAATTTACTCATCTATACATTGGGAATAAAAATAGTAAGTGGAATTGCTGGATGATTAAATGAAATTTGTGGTCAGCACTAAGTAGAGTGCCTGGCACATAACAAGCATTCAATAAGTTACTATGGGATGGCCAGCAATTAGAGCAGCAGGTAGGACAGGACAGATTAAATTAAGAAAATAGCATTCATCTCCATGTCTTCAGGCACATGGAGTCTTGTTTACTTACGTTGCCTTTCATCAGACAAATGCAAAGGCAGAGCTTTCCTTGTCTTAGAAGAATAAAGAACCCTTTCCCATTGGATCCCAATCAGAGGCTCTTGGCAGAGCTGGCAAAAGGATAGGCACATCCTCGTGTCTAACATTTAGACTTAGCCAACATAGTAAAGAAATTTAGTTTAATATGAAATAAAAACAAAAACAGGAGCCCAAATGTACCTTTCTTTATTCCACCGTGGTTCTCAACTTCTAGCTGGCCAAGGATGGAGTGGGTCTCTACTTGTAAACTGAGAGGGATGCCAGCCTGCCTTCCCATTTTTGAGAGAAAGACAGCAAGGGCTTCTGAGTAGAGAGAAGAAACGATGTGGGGAATCTGGCTTCCCCTAAACAAGACTGTACTGTATTTCACGAGCCAGAGAATAGACCCCTTTATTTTTAGTACCTCAAACTGGTACCCACAAAAGGAGAGCCCAGGAGAGATTGTGTCGTGTAAGAAGCAGTGTGTATTTCATACAGGTCATCGGAGATGGCCTGTCCTGTGGCAACCTTGCTGTGGTGCACAGCAGCTGTCCTGGGTAGGCTGTGAGTGCTTACCCAAAGCAACCGAACATTTTCTTTAGCCTTGTTGAAAGCCTTGGCTCCCCCTTTCTTATCACCTCCCCATATTTTCCGTATTGCCCTCTTGCTGCTTTCTCAGTCTCCGTGCTCCCCTTCATCTGTGTCTCTTCCACTCAGCAAGCTGGTATCAGTCTTGCTCCTCTTAGATGAGGGGATCTTCTGCCCCTGCCCGGGGCCACAGCACTGCTAACAGGATGGAGATGTGGCAAAATCTGGCCCAGACGAGCTTGACTGAGGTGACGGTTCTTGGGAGGAGGACTTGGAGTCATTCCCCAAACTTCTGCCAATCCTTTTTTGCTCAAGAGATACTGAAGGACCATACCCGGGCAGATGTGACCTCTGACCCAGCTGTGGAATCATCAGGATGTTATGTGGATCGTGACTGGGAAAGCGTGTCTGCAGTATGAGTCCGAACAACCTTGCATGTTTGCACAGCTTGAGGGGGTGGATGAGGGCCATCCTTTGATAAGCATCCCACGGCAAGGCCAGGACAGATGATACGCTGATCCTCACGGCCAGTGGCTGAAGCATTAAAGCATTTGGTGGTGTTTGAGCCAAGCAAGGGCATGGCGGCATGAAGGCAGTGCTAGAAGCTCACAGCCAGGGCCCAAGCCGGGAGAGCTGAAAAGCAGGCAGGTCTGGCTGGGAGCTGAGGTGCAGGGCCTTCTGCCTGCTTCTTCATGATGTCTTCCCAGCTAGGAAAGCCTCCTCCAGGCCCCTGCCCGTGGCTGGGGCCCATTTCCAGGTAGCTGTCCACCCTGACCCCTCACGGCTACTCCTTGGCAGTGCAGTGTGGGGGACCTGCCTCGGCCACATAACCTGGAGCACAGTGGCAGCGGTAGGAGCCCTCGGTGTTCTCGCAGTGACCGTGGGCACAGAGTGCAGCAGGCCCGTTCAGGTCATCACATTCATTCACATCTAAGAGGAAGGGAGGGAAGAGAGCACTGTAGGGAGCCCAGGTGCCTCTGCTGCTGTGGTCACTGAGCCTCTGCCCTGCGGTGGAATCCTACACGTGGCAACCAGAAGCTGAAGTCACTGCTCAAAACGAAGCTTCTCAGAGACACAGAGCTGGTGGTAGTGAATCCATCCTGTGCCTCAGAGTGACCATGTCTCCTGTACCTTTCTTCTGCCTAGGAATCTCCATGGAAAGGATTTTCTAAACCCAGCAGGAGACGTCTCCTTCCTTTGGCACATTCCCCACTTGGCCTGGCTCCAGGACGCCCACTAGGGGGCAGCAGTGGATTTTCCAACTACCCTAAGTTCAGTCTCTATTTCTAACAGAGCAGTAGGGCAGGTCCAATCTCTCCTCCTAGAGCCATCAGGGTCCTCCTGCTTCCTAGGTATTCATTGCCACTCATATTGACACTTACCCACGCAGGCCATATGGGCCATGTCCAGCTGGAAGCCCTCAAAGCAGTCACAGGTGTAGCCCTCCCTCACGCGCACACAGCGGCCATTCTCGCAGCCGTTCAGGATGCCACATTCCTCTGCCTGAAGCCCTTCAAAGCCGGCCTGGTGCTCTGGTAGGAGGGAGTCAGAGAAGGAAGCTGAGGCCTTGCACCTGACCCTGGGGCCCTCACGCTCCTCAGGAAGGATTGCTGCTGTTGAACTCCTAAGGTCAGGGTTGGGAGCCTCATGGAAAGCTGCTGAAATAAAAGGCTGTACCCTTAAGAAATAAGTATGTGGGGCGCCTGGGTGGCTCAGTGGGTTAAAGCCTCTGCCTTCGGCTCGGGTCATGGTCCTGGGATCGGGGCCCGCGTCGGGCTCTCTGCTCAGCGGGGAGCCTGCTGCCTCCTCTCTCTCTGCCTGCCTCTCTGCCTACTTGTGATCTCTGTCTGTCAAATAAATAAATAAAATCTTAAAAAAAAAAATAAGTATGTGTCTCCGCTTGGAGTGGCAGAGACGTGCCATGCTCTACGGGTTAGTTCCAGGAGGGCCGAGATGCGCTACTTTCACAGCGCCAGGGCCCTGGCAAGGGGGCGTCTACAGTTTTGGTTTTGTTGTGGTTGGTAGTGGTTAAAATCTTTGTGTAGTTTTTTTGTTGGGGGGTGTGGGGGGGAGACGGGCAGCAAGAGGGATTACCCTCATTCAACACAAAGCAAAACTTAGGCATCTGCTTGAACCTCTCTAAGCAGCTCCCAACCCCTGAGAAAGACCCGACCCTAGTCCCCGTGCAGTCTTAGTCTGATACGGTGGCTGTGCCTGTGACAGCTTTGTCCATCGCACAGGTGCCAGGCCCGACTTCTTAGAATCCCAGTCCCGCGTGCTGGGGTCATTGCCACTTACAAAGCGGGTCACCACAGCAGGACTTTAAAGTGATTAGAAAGCCTTAATGCACATTTCAGGCCACCAGTGTGAGCTCATAGAGCCAGTCATTCTGCACACTGTGAGTGGCGTGGAGGGGGAAACAGAGACTGGAGTGTGCCTGCTTTCTCTCGCTCTCTCAACGCCCTCAGGGAAGCTTTTGAGGAGGAGGTGGTGTCCTGTACCTCTTTGGTGTCCCCTGTCCCAGTTCCTCAGTAGGGTCTGACCGGGCATTTGGAGTTGACCCTTGAGGGACCTGTGAGAGGGCTTGGTGGGTCTTTCTTCCTCTGCGGCCTGACCCCACTGGAGTGATCAGTAGCTAGAGGAAGTGGAAGTGAAACAGCTGTGGGGCCCACCACTTCCCCACGTGGGCAGCAACACAGACCTGGCTGGCTGGCCACATAGTGGGGCTGGAGTTCCGAGGGCTGCAGGGGAGACTCAAGAACCGGCAGGTGGTCCCCGGCGCGGCTGGCTGTGTTGGGGAAGGCTGGCTCTGGGATGGTGTCCTCAGGGCCCAGGTAGTTGTAGAAGGGGGCCCCCTCAGGGCTATAGAGGCTGTAGTGCAGGTCCTCGGGCCCAGGGCCGTACTCATAGCCTGGCCGGAAGTGGACCCCCGCCTCCCGCTCCGCTTCAATCCGGGCCACATTGCACAGCTGAGCATAGACCTCTGTCAGGGAGGAGGGAGAGAGGAAGCTGCCAAGTTCCTGGTAGCTAAGTCCTGGTGTGCTGTTCCCTGGCTCACTGCCTGGGGAGAGGGAGCATGCTGGGACTGGTCCCCTCCGGAAGTTCCTGGCAGTGCTCTTCTCCCCACCCCACCCCCTGCCCCGCTTTGTCCCCAAGCAATAGGGATGGGAGACAGGGCCACATTGATTGCTCTCCTCCTTCTAAATCCCTCCCTCCAAGGTGAGGGCATTCCCTTCCTTAGGGTCCCTCCCTGCGAGTGGGCACGGGTCACCCTTCTCACCAGAGCTCCTGGGGGGGCAGAGGGCGCACTGCTGGCTCCAGGCCTCCCCATCCTGGCAGCAGCATTCTGTGTAGGTGGTGCGGTGCCCATGCAGGGGCTGGCTGCACACATAATTGGTGACTCTTTTCCAGCAGATGTCCGTGTGGATGTCGTGGTCAGGCAGGTCCTCTGGTGGCACAGGGCCCAGAGGCACGTGAGCCCTCCCAGCCAGATCCAGTCTCCCTGCTGCCCCACCACTCTAGCCTACTGACCCGTGCTACTGGTGTTCACGCAGCGCTGCTGGCTGAGGTCCAGGGTGAGGGGGGGGCTGCAGAAGCAGTGGAAAGAGCCTTCAGTGTTCACACACTCACCGTCCTCACAGGCCATGTCCTGGCACTCGTCGTGATCTGTGGTGGCAGAGAGATGGAGGGGATGCGTGGGGCGGTACGAAGGCAGCTTGCCCACAGACCGGCTTCGTGGAAGGAGGTTTTCTTGTAACTGATAATGAAGCGTAGCTCCCTGCTTCCCCCTCCTCCCCTGCTCCAGCCCCGCCTGGGAGGCCCCTCCCTGGGGATCCCTTTCCAGCAGGGGCTCACATTCGAGCCTGGACAACCCCTCCAGCTCCCCTGCTGCAGTGGGGGCTCCCAGCAAGGATGGGGCTGGCCGGCGGGGGGCTGGATGAGTGGCCTGGGGTGGGGGGCAGCGCGTCCTCACCCTCGCACCGCCTGTGTTGGGCATTGTAGTGGTAGCCGGGGTGGCACAGGCAGATGTAGCCAGGCACCGTGTTGAGGCACCGGCCGTTCTGGCAGAGACTGGAGCCGAACATCACACACTCATCTGCATCTGTGGGAGGGCAGAGAGGAGGGGAGAAGCCGGATGAAGCAGAACGTAAGACTAGGGGTCCAGAGCCAGACTTGCTGGTGGGAATCCTGGTGCTGCCACCTGCTAGTCTGGTGCCTTTGGGCAACTTGCTTGAGTCCTTGCCTCAGTCTCCCGCCAAAAAAATGCAGCTGCCATGACTTAACCTCTTACTGCCCTTAGGAAGATTAAAAGGTTAATATAGTTAGGTGCTTACATAGTGCTTGGCATGTAGCAAGCACTTAAGGAAAGCCACTTCTGTTTCTGTTCTCTTTCTGTCTCCAGCTTCAGGATTAGGGCACTGAAGGGCTCAGACCTGAACTACCCACTTTGAGTGTGGGTTCCCCGAAGTTTCTGGCTTTGTAAGTGGGGCCAGGAGGATAAGCAGCTGTCTCCGTACTCCCCACCCCGACCCTGTGCCCCGTGACTGCATTAGTCATGGCGTCCTAGTTCTGGAGGGTTCAGCCTCAGGGGAGCAGAGGAACCAAGGTCGGGTTGTACAGACACCTCCAGAAGGGGCTCAGGTCAGACCTTCCAGCTGCAAATCTGTAGGCGGTCAGCCTTGGGACAGGAATGAGGGAAGTGAGCGGGAGGCTAGGGCAACATGCAGAACTTCCTCCGGGGCCTCCTGGAGGACCAGGTTGGGCCCCCTCAGGTGAGTGGGTTTGGTGAGGAGGGTCTCTAGGGAGGTTACCTGTGTACGTGGTCTGTCCAAACATCCAGGCTCCGTCCACGGGGATGTAGCCTTTACCACTGGGGCAGATCTCACTGAATTCAGCTGTGCAGGGAGGCATCCAAGCTTAGAAACAGAAGGGCTCTGCCCCCTTCCCCTCTCCCCTTCTTTCAGCGTCACCCTACAGAGCTGACACTGAGGATTTGGAGCCCTCGGGGGCCTTACCCGAGTCCTCAGCTGGGCAGAGGGCACAGGCGTCTCCCCAGCTGGCACCCTGGGTGCAGCAGCACTCGGCCTGTGTGGCGTTCCGGCCCAGAAGGCTGGAGCAGGGCAGCTGGCCGTTCTGCCCGGAGTAGCATTCCATGCGGATGGGGCCTGCAGGGTGGTCTCCTGGCGGGGCCTCAGGAATACTCTGACCTGTGTGAGATTAGACACCCTTTATTACTGTCTGTCTTTGGCCCCCTGGGGCACCCTAGCTTTTGAATTTATTTTCACGGCTTTACATTTATATAGCACCAGGAAGTGTACACCATGCTTTCGAATCGTCTCACTTGATGCTCTGGACGGCATTTTATCATCAGCTGCCTTTACACGGGAGGCAGCTGAGACTGTGAGAAGCCTCGTGACTTGTCACGGCCTCCAGCTGTAAGTGGCCCTGACCCCAGTTCTTCTGGTGCCCGAAGCCGTGCTCTTTCTGGTATAGCGTCCTGCCGCCAGGGAGGTGCCCCCGGTCTGTGGCATACCATACGGGCAGCCCCTCCATTCCTCAGCTCACACTGTACCCCAGCCCCTCCCATCTTTCCTTGTTCCAGGTCTTGCTCGCTTTTTCCCAAGTCAGAGGAGGCCAGCTCAGTTCTCATCCGGCCTGGGGAGAGAAGCTGCCCCCAACAGCTCTGGGGTGGGGCACGCAGGGGACAGTGAGGCTCAGCTCAGCCCCAAGGCCCTCCTCACTGAAGGGCTCCCTGGGGTCCCTCGGGGGCTCAGTCTGCGGTCCCTAGGCACCTTAAGTTGGCATCAGTTCTTCTGATTCCCTGTAGGGCTGTCACAGCCCTGAGCCTCCTGGATATTCCCTGGCCCGGGACAGACATCCACTTGTCTTGACATTTGCCATACGCTGAGTCCTCCCCCTGTTCTCCTCCAGTCCTACGTGGCACCCTCGCCCACACAGCTCGGGGCCTGGCCCAGGCTCCCTCTCGGGAGTCGGAGCAGCGGAACCACTTTGTAAGCCACAGAGCGCTCATGTGTAATGACGTGGTAACTATGGGGTGCGCTCACCTCCAGCCACCCGCAGGCGACAGCGGCCCTCCTGAGCGTCGTACTCCTCCAGGTCACTGGCACAGAGGCACAGGAAGGAGCCCTCCACGTTCTCACAGAGAGCCGCCCCGCACACCGCCAGCATGAGCTCACACTCGTTCACGTCTGCCAGGCACGAGAACAGGCTTGTGGGTGGAGAAGACGCAGCCGGTGCCTCCGGGCCCTCTGCCTCCTACCCAGTGGGCAGATCCTCCCCTCATCCTCTCAGAAGAAACAGGCTAGGTCTCAGGGGGCGAGCAGAAGGGAGT